AGGGCTGGGGCGGCAGGAGGGGGCAGTGGGGGCAACAGCCCAGGGCTGGGGTGGGTGGCAGCCAAAAATTTTTTTGCTTGGGGCAGCAAAAAACCTAGAGCCGGCCCTGCCTATTCCACACCCATGCACATTTCATGGGCTAAATTATGGCTGTCTCAGTATGGGGTTGCTGGGGTACTAGTGCGTTCGGAGAGGCTTTTTTCCCTCCCTGCCCTCCTTCCCCTACTCCCCTCTCACTGCTCTGGTGGAGGACATAGTTATAATTTGGCAGCCAGTGTGCTCTGATGTTAAAACTGGGATGTACAGCTGCTGCCACCAGTGCTTATGTGTGATGGATCATAATCCTGGCACTGCCCCTCTGCCCTAAGATTGCAATGGGAAGAGCACATATTGTATCTGCAGTAATTTCACTTGTCTCAGTCCGTTGGGAGACATTATCCCTGTTCCTAGCCTCTGCAGGCATTGTACCTTCAGCGACCATTGCTAAGGAAGTAGTGCCCTTAGTATTTTATTTACAACAATAGCAGTGCCCTTAATATTTTGTTTGTCAGTTGGTGATCTATCTCACATTTCATCTCCTGATACTATTTTCAAATGCTAAGGCATTGGCTATATGATTTCTTATAAGATGTTGCATGAAGTTACTTTGTGTATTGCTTCTGTTAATATTCATCAGTAAATCAAGCTGCCCTCATCTCTTGCATGTAATTATCAAAATTTATATTGAGAACTAGTTGCCTTGAATATTGTTTGCATTAATATGCCACCAATATCACTGAAATATGCTTTGTGACTGGGCAAGTGAGGTGGAGAACAGTCAGAGTTCTTTTGGTACTGCCTACTTCAGCATTCTCTTTTCTAGCATTGTTATCATGCAAGGACTTTTTTTCCTTTAGTTTGGACCTTATAAAACAACTCTTTGCTCTTTTCTGAAATCTGCTGATGCCATAATCCATCAATTGCTTGAAGTGCTTTTGAGTGGCCTGGCTCATTTCTAATAATCTAAAAATCCAGAAATTTTTAGAGCGAAGATTGTTAAACAATTTAACTAATGTTCTGAAAAGGCTTTTATTTCTTCGTAATCTACAAAACAATTAACTTAGGATAGTTGGCATTTTATGGAAAGATGACATCTGTGGCTAGTCAAGACTATGGACTTTGATCTGATTCTCACAACAGAAATTAGAAACCATAGCAGAAAGCCATTTTGTATAGTGTTAACCCAGTATGTTGTCAGCTATCCTGAATTTAGGCTATTAAGTTTTTCAAATAAAAGTAACTGCGGTGAAATAAACAGTATGACAGGGGAGAGCTTGAATTGTCTCCTTTCCATCAAATCAGTATGGAATTGGGGCAGAAAGATTGTAGCAACATCTACTGCCCTCGATTAAGCAATAAGGTAAGACAGATTGTGTGGTAGTGCAGCAGTAAGGCTGATTAATGCTTACATTGGAAGAACATGCACATAAATCAGTGACTTATAAAATGGCCTTTAAAGGAAAAGCAATATATTGTTAAATTTAGGCTCATTAAAGTGGTTCTTCAGGAAACAAGTTCTGTTAACCATCAAAAATGTTACTTTGAAAATACCCTCGAATTTGTGTCCTTATTTTGAAAGCAGGTTTTGCTTTTATTCAATGTTTTATCTCCTAGTTAATCTTCTGTGTGCCTAGTATCCCCCTCAAGCTCTCAGTCTGATCAGTTCAATTCCATTTTCAATGGCAAAACAGAATTGAAAACATAAATCGACTCCTGTTTGCATTTTTCCATATAAAATAAAAACAAACATTATCTACATGTTATTGATGTTCTGCCTTGGAACTTCGGTGCCTCTAATGTCTGGGTACCAGCCGCCAATCCTGAGCCTCACTGACAACTGCAAGGGTGAGGGAATAGAGCTCATGAGTAGTAGATATTTTTAAGGAGATAAACCGGATCTTCTTCATGAGAACATTTCTCATAAACAGAGTACAGTGAAAACTGAAAGGGGGATTGTCTCAGAATGAGACAGGTGGCCAAGTACTTAGTAGCATTTTCCTGGTCTACAGACACCTCTGATAGTGGGGATCTAACCATTCTGTATGTTAACTGCTCTGTAGATACTTTTCTCTAGTCAGGGCCAGCTCCAGGCATCAGCAGAGGAAGCACGTGCCTGGGGCGGCACATGCGAAGGAGCGGCATTCCGTCCCTTCTTGGGGTGGCACAGTCTGCAGTCCGAGCGGCTTTTTTTTTTCCTTTGCTTGGGGCGGCAAAAATGGTAGAGTCGGCCCTGTCTCTAGTTATTGTTTATGTATGGACATATAAAGATTGGCAACACACATAGGCCCCAGTCCAGCAAAGCAGGTAATCTTATTCTAAGTAGTCCCATTGACTTCAGTTGGCTTAAATTTAAGCATATGCTTGAGTTCTTTGCTTTATCAGGGCTGTAACATTCAGTATATAAAGTCTTCCCAAGAGCTAATTATACTTGAGCTTCATGTAATGATAGTTGTACTGTGGGTTTATTTCAGTAAATGTGATATGAAACTCAAAATATGAATCATATATTTAATAGAAATAAAATAAATATTACAGTATGTCATGGTTTATATAACATTAAAAGGCTTTATTTCAGTTACTTGGGTTTTCTTTTTAAATTATTTTGAACCACATATTCTGGATCCGTATTTATGAGATATCTGTTACCTTTCCCTGCTTGCAGAGCCAGTTGTATATGCATCTAACCAACTACTCTGTGAATAAACATAATGAGCACTTTGAACGGGATGAAACAGAAGATAAAGGCAGTAAACGGTCCATAAAATGGTTTACTGAGTTTCTACAAACAAATCACCTTGATGTTTCCAAATTCTGGAGTGATATTTCAGTAAGATAAAACTAATGTGCAATTAATGATTTATGTATATACAGCATATCAATTTAGAAAATTAATGTCACCTGTCATCTCTTGACTTTGCTTGGAAACCACCATGTGTATTGCAGCGTTATTAATCCGAGCTCTCAAGAATGCACATCACAAAGCACATACTGTAAAGTGGTGCTAAGGGCAAACTGTTGTTTTAAATTTTTTTTTTTAAGGCTTATAAGTAGGACGGCTTTCAGACTGAATTAGCCTTCTTTATGGAGAGACTTTTTTCTGCGAGGTTAGCATTGAAGTCATTTTGCTAGACAATGTAGGACAGAGTGAATTAGTTGCAATAAGAATAGCAGGGGAGATATTGATAAATCTGGAGAAAACCCTGCCCTGACCTATATGTCATGTAACCCTTAATAAGACTAGAGTTGCCCAAGATATAAGGCAGGGCAAAATTAGACTTAATGCTATTTTCAATATCTGCTTAAACAAAGGGCTAAATTTATGCTTAAATCCCTTAAAATGGATTTGTTTATATAATTCCCTCAGACTGCTTTAAAAATATAGCAATCATTTGTTCAGCCTTTTCGTAACCACAGATGACAGATCTAGACAATTCCTCTTGTCATGAATGTATTAGAAGACTTGAATATGAAAAAAACTTGATTATGATTTATCTCAAAATATGCTGATATTATTCCCTGCAGTTCTAATGTAACTTTGTGAAAAATCCCCACAGGAACTAGTGGTGAAGACTCTCATAGTAGCAGAGCCACATGTCCTTCATGCTTATCGTATGTGCAGACCAGGCCAAGCTCCCGGAAGTGACAGTGTCTGCTTTGAAGTACTGGGATTTGATATCCTGCTGGACAGAAAACTAAAACCCTGGCTCCTGGAGGTAAAGCACTTTTGTTAGACTGTAAAGTCTGCTTATACAAAATTAAGTACAGTCATGCCTAGCCAATACCTTCATGGGAAAACTTCCAAGGAAAATCCAAGCATTGTAGGAAGGGGTACTGGTGATTAAATAGCTGGCACTCATCCTTCTGAGTGTCTGTGTACACTGCATGCTTCTTTCAGCAGCAAATAGCAAATAAACATGGGTAGCCCCCCCTAGCACAAGGTAAGCTTAGATGAGTAGAGTGAGTACAAACCCTACACTGCTCTCTACTCACCCAGACTGTGCCTCCCCATCTACTCTGCTATTTTTAGCAGGATAGTGTCCCATTGCCTCCCGCTGTTGGAGCCTTTCCCCGCCACAAGAAAAGACTCTGACAGTGGGGAGGTGGGCAGCAGGGAAATAACGCTCAGGCTCAGCCTTT